TTGCTGTATATTTCAATGACTTTTAAAGAATTTATCCATGTGTAAAGTCGAAAGTGGTGATATTTCGGGGAGAATCGTTTGTTGCAGGTTACAAATTTGTATAATCATTCAATGAATCTATAATAAGTTGCTATCTGTTAAATTAGAAAAAATACAAATCAAACGTTTCCATTCCAATGCTGTTATTTAAAAAAATGAAATATAGAGAACACTGTGTTGTCAGTGGTGGTGTACATGTAGTAGGACTACAGTTACGTACAGTGTGATTCGGACAGAGCATCACCTCTACCCTCCCCCCTCCCCCTCCCCCATAAATTCGTACAAAAAAATCAAAATTCTTTCCGTTTCGTTTGGGGGGAAATTGCAAATGCAAAATAAATCGTTCAGAGTCCCAAGTGGGGGTCAACAACATACTATTCTGCCAGAGTATCCACTTGAATCTAAATGCTTAATGTGTTTCTATAATAATTTTAAGCTATTTTATACAATCTTTGTCAGAGTCTGTAGAAACCCCTGTTTCAGTGAAATCCACGAGTCTTGGGATTAACAAGAGTTCATTTTATATGGCCGACTAAACATGATTTATCGGAGCGGTGAAGTACTGCCTTTGTCTGTCACCTCTGATGGAAGGTTAGTGAAATGAATCTTTTTAAAAGTTGCACTTATCCTTAATTCAGACGGTAAATATAATGATATTTAAGAGTATAGATAACGAATTCAAGATAACATTGATAAAAACAAAACATCTATACTAAATATCCTAACATTCCTTCCGTTTATTTTTTTTTCAACACCCTGAAATATGACTTCTTCAAATTATAGTGGAACTATTTTTTTGTACATTGTACCGAGGAAACTATTTCAGAGAGTGTTCTGAAAAAGAGGAAATATTAAAAGAAATATTCATATTATATTTCTATCCAGTGAAGCGATCAGGACATGTTCTGGTCTATAAAGGATATTGAAGATATTAAAGGGGTCTTTAGTATAACTAAAAGATAATCGTTAGAGGATAGTGTAAATTCTCCAGCCTTCAGTTGTTGTTAGAATAAGAAATATTTTACCTTAAAGGTGTGTGATTTTATTTCAAAGTTATTTTCCTTGCTATTTTTTCTCCAAAAGTTGAAAGTTCCTGATTTTTAGGTCACCTGAGTCACTCAGTTGACCTATTCCTATCCAGGTTTTTTCCGTCATGATGCGATTTGTGTCGGTTGTATACTTTTAACATTTTCAGCTTCTTCTCTTGAGCCACTGAGCCAATTTCAACAAATTTTGGCATATAGCATTAATAGGTTTAAAATATTTGAATTCCATAGTTCCTGTCCCCTTGGTGCCTAAGGTGTGGGAGCTGAAAACCATCAAAATTAGAGCTATCTTTATAAATCTTCTGAACATCTGGACATCAAGCAAACAAACTGTTAAGATTGTAATAAGCATTGAGCCCTCTACCAAAATTTTGAAATTCACGAACCCAGGTTCTGGAGTTAGGGCGGAGCTCCAATGATAATATAGTGAAAATGGATAAGTATTTGAAAAGTCCTTTTCTTTACCCCTGTACATTTAGCAGATAAACTAGTGCATGATTACGATCTTCCAAAATTATGAAATATGTGGTCCCAGAGTCAGAGTTTCTAATGTTAAGGTTGGTTTCTCCTAAAATATAGTGCAAATGCATTATCTCTGAAAAAAAACCCTTCTTACCTCCAGAGTTTTAAGCAGACAAACTAAGTGCATAGCTTTGTTAAGTAAAGGTGTTTCTTCTGAAATTGTGAATTTTATTGCCCAGGCTCAGGGATTCTGTTGTTAGGGTGGGGCTCTATTTATTATTCATTGAAAATACATTAATTCTTTGAAAATCATCATCTCGTTCATGTGTATTTTTCACTTAAACTACGTTCATACTTATGATGAGCAAGGGACTTCTTCCAAAATGGACATTTGTGGCCCAAGGTTAAGGGATTCTGATTTTGAGGAGCAAAAACGCATTAGTTCTTTTTGTGTAGACTTTACATATAGCCGTAAGGAGCACATTTTGTACAGTAGCGTGCTAGCATGACAGGTCCAGCACCTCGAAAATATCAAAAGTTCAATGGCATGGTACTTTTTAAGAATTGATAGACTACTGATAGATACTTCACAAATAAAGAAAGCTAAAGATAACGCACAGCAATCGATCCGAAAAAAATCTAGAAACAATACAAATTTTTGAACAGGGCATCACACACGGACCCCCCGAAATTCCAGAGGTAGGATCAGGTGCCTATAAGAAGTAAGCACCCCTTTTGACCGGTCACACCCGCCGTGATCCCTATGTATTGATCAGGTAGATGGAACATTCCAAAGTCAAATTTAGTATAAAAATAAAGGCCTAACAATTGGTATGAACATGTCATCCAAAATACGACCCAATGATAGATTATAATGATACGACCCAATGATAGGTTATACAGTGTATTTGTAACAAACATAGAATTTACGGAATGCTGACTTTAAACAAGGCTGTTGAAATCTCTGTAATATTATCTTATCTGTCAGTAGTCTGCCTTGGTTTAATAACTGATCGTACGCAGAAAATGCTCCTGAATATCGAATAAGTTGGGAGATAAAAAGACCATACGCTGGTGATAAGGGAAAATTACTACAAAAATAAGGACAGTTGAGGATGAAAGAGCTGCAGTCATTTCGATTGTCATACATTTTAGTAGTTATCGTCTATGTACAGTAAATCGTCCAAAAATGAAAGCAATCAAATAAAAATATGAAACAATATTAAATACATACAGTAATGAAGTAAACCTGAAAAAGCATTTTGAACTTTTAAAACTTTACATCGAACATCTGTAACATTAAATTCGTACAAAGAACTAATACATGTCTGTGATTCAAGAAAAAAAAAGCAGTAAACCAAGATGACCATGAAAAACAGCGGACTATGAGATGCCCTAGGTTGGTTTAAAATATGATTATTTCGACTAAGATAATTATTTTTTTTTTTTACTACAAATAAATATACTACTCATAAAATGCTTCCTATATAATCTTAAGAATTTAAAATAACTTTTTGATACAGTCTGAAAATTTTCACATAGAGAAAAGCTATACCCAGAGGTGTAGTTTGTGATACTCACCCCTCGGAAAATTTACCGCTTATTTTGATTACCTCCGATATGATTGGTTAGCAACTTCTACAACACTGAATAGATCCACAAAGCAACACTCCGGGGTGTGGATAAGTGTACATATATACTATTGAATTTTGCCCCCTTCGCAAGTGAGATTGATTGATTGATTGTATTTTGTTTAACCTCCCTCTCGAGAATTTTTCACTCATATGGAGACGCCACCATTGCGGTGGAGAGCTGCAAATTTTGTCCTATACTCGGCACTTACGGCCATTGAGCAGTGAGGGATCTTTTTCGTGCCAGCACCTACTGCGACACGGGACCTCGGTTTATACGGTCTCATCCGAAGGACCGGCCTCCATGTCCCACAGTGGGATTCGAACCCGCGACGTAAGGATCAACTCCTTACTTCGCGACTCTAGAGCAGACGCTCTAACCACTGCGCCACGCGGGCGACTTCGCAAGTGAGAAAGTCCGATTATTGTGTACAATTAAAAAAAGGTATATTTCGCATCCAATGTCATAATTTATTCATATTCTATAAATAATAAAGAATATATTTATTCTCATTCAATTGATTTAGAATATAATTTTCTTCTGATTATATATTTTGCACAATAGAATCTTACATCTATCAAATACCATTACATTTTTTTTTTTACAAATACATATATACTGTGAAATCACTTATTTGGGGGGGTGGGGGTGGGGGTATTTTTCGTTGTTTTCGAAGTATGAAAAGTAAAATTTCAAATATATACTCATCATTTCTTTATCTAAGAAATTAAATACCTACGAAGCCATATTTTTTCTCAAACCATTTAAATTTGATCCTATGAAAATACTTGAATCTACAGTATATAATAATTCTTGTTAGTTAAACAGTTGAAAACATGCATCGTACATGACATAATCATGAAATCTTACACATTATAATAGGCTTCAGTTAAGAAATAGCAATACAACAGTCAAAACAATTTAAGATAAATCACAGAACCGTACTTTAAGCTATACTTTTATCCACATCCACCCACAAATATTCCTATATTCCAGTTCTCAGCAAAATGTCACTGAGCATTTCAGATCGACTCCTTAGATCTCTTTTTGTCCATGAATGAAGAAGTTGAAGATAACAAACAGTGATCGATCTAAAAAAAATCTACTAACAATACAAATTTGTGAACACGGCATAATAGACAGACCCCCGGAAATTCCAGAGGTGGGATCAGGTGCCAGGTGGGATAGGAGGAGTAAGCATTCCCTAATGACCGCGAATCTTATGTACTGATGAAATAGAAGGAACATTTCGTAGTCAAACATATTGTAAAAACAGGCCTAACAACTGGTATGAAACGCATCAGTCAAAATACAACCAAATGATAGGTTATACATGTATTTGCCAACAAGGTCATTATAAGACCACAAAATTTACGAAATTAAAAAATAATGTCCTACAATTTTCTTGAATTTAAATTTATTCTGTAGCAAGTATTGCATTGTTTGTGCACTTGATGTTGAGTTCACTTTTCTTTCTGCACTTCAATAGTTTTGTTTATTTTAAGTTTTGATCATGTTTACTGTTCGTTATCTTCATATAACATTCCAATTTTATTTGTAAATCGTGCAATTATGTTTTTGAATATATATATGCTTTAAAAAATAAAATCATGAATTATATATTCTTATAATGGGCAGTTAATCAAAGAATGGTAAAGATACATTAATGTTAATGTGCGTAGTACTTTTATGATCACAAATCGCGATATCATATGGATAGTGATTTCTTTTTAATGATACATATCAATATTAAAATATAAAGCAGGATTTCATTATTGCTGCTTTTATACTTCATAGAAGATCATATCAATTTATCTAAGTTCTTCCGAAGGTTTTTTTTACATGATGTAATCTACGCATTCATTAGAGAATTAAATCATAGATCACTGGTTGCTGTAAATATTTTCCTCCGTTTCCTCTTGTGCCCGGATGTAGTCCAAAACAACATTGTAAATTATCATGTACTCCTCCTACAAAAGGAAAAAAGTCATACAGAAATGTGAAACTAAGCATCATTTTTCATTGCAGAAAGTAAATACACATGTCCATAATGTACTGCATCAAATGTATGCATGTGATGTATTTACCATTGCGGAGCAGAGTTCTGGACGTCTTATCTGTAACTGACGGACAGCAGAGAAAATGTCCACCTCGCCGTCCATAGACAACTGTTGTAGTGTGTAATATACAGCACAAAATACACCACATAGGACAGCTCCATCACTGATAATAAAAAAAATATTAATATCCATAGACAACTGGTGTAGTGTGTTAAAAATAGCACATAAACAGCACATAGGACTGCTCCGTCACTGATAATAAAAATAATATTAATATCCATAGACGACTGTTGTACTGTGTTATATACAACACAAAATACACCACATAGGACTCCGTTACTGATAATAAAAATAATATTTATATCTGTAGACAACTGCTGTAGTGTGTTATATACAGCACAGAATATACCACATAGGACTGCACCGTCACTGATAATAAAAATAATATTAATATACATAGACAATTATTACAGTGTTTTATATACAGCACAGAATACACCACATAGAACTGCACCGTCACTGATAATAAAAATAATCTCAATATACATAGACAACTATTGCAGTGTGCTATATACAGCATAGAATACACCACATAGGACTGCTCCGTCACGTCACTGATAATAAAATACGTGAGAAACAACAATTTGTATTCATTACGATTTTCAAGAAACCATGGGATCATTTGGGATTTTTTTTTCCAGGTTAACCTACAAAATGATTTAAATACATTACTATTTCATCTTTAGCAATGTACATTCAGTTGTATTTCATTCATATCCTGATGGCATTAACTCAAAAGAGTACGTAATTTACAAACAGAGAGATTTTTATTGTTATAAGAACATGCGTGTTTGAATCAAGAGAAAGGCATTTGTTTTATATTTGTCAAATTATGCCATGAAAAAAAAATTTGGAAATTTGAAAAAAAAATCATATACGTACATGTATATCTTATACTCTGGTATAACTTTATATTGACATTACCGCAGTGCAGGTCAATTTATTAAAAAAAAAGACACAATTCCTCCTGAAACATAATTGAAATAATTGAAATGCTGCAACCAATAAAACCTCGTTGAAAAATGTTGGCTTTGTATTTATTATTTAATACGGAGTAAGGTGCACACTCAAATACTTTCTCAATACAAGTTCTGCGCAGGTGCGTTAAGATAGCACCCAGGTCGTGAATCGAGAAATTCACACTTCTTTGTAAACTGTAAAATGTAACATTGATATATCAGAAAAGCCACGGATAAAATTATTATTTTTATTATCCATTGTATAAAAATCATTGAGTCTTAGTCCAATACGTCATCACGTGACGTCTATAAATGGAAAATTTTGTCTTAATGAAGAATGAAAAGTTCAAAACCATCCCGGGGATAATTCTTTTCTGTTTAGAAAAATAATAAGGTGACAACATATCTGGGTAATGATAAATGCTGCTAGAATCCTACTCCCCTTCACAGAAATATATATTGCAAATTTTTGCATGAAACCTTACCGAAAGTTTTAACTTTTGAACATAAGATCGATGAATCTTCAACAATTCAAGTTAACAATACTATTCTAGCAGCACATTCCAAGAACTATTGAACACAAGCTTCCGATATCGACAGAAATTTTCGAAATAGTTTCGAAATATGCGGCGTTGTGTTGAACTTTTGCATCTCTAATGTTGTGAAAAGGCTAATTGGGATTTCAAAACACTATCTTGTAATAAGACTGCTACCCAAGAGGGCATTCTGCTCTTGGGACAGTCGGGTTCGGGGGAGTCTCAACCTGAGATTTCTATCAGATGACCACCAAACAAAATAAAGATAACAGTGATTGATGATGTTTTATTTATTTACAATGAAATGATAAAGTTTAGATGACACTGACTGGTGCTTCCAGTTCTACAAAAACAATGAAAAATATCTATGAAAAATGAGATAGATAAAAAATAAACCTATAAATGATCTTCCAAATAAATATGTAACTTTATTTCTTTATTTAGAAGTCTTAGGTAATTTTGATGGTTTTAATTTAAATCGGGATCGAAAGGTAAATATTTATTAGACCACAATTGCGCGGAATGCGAAATGTTAAATTTGGGAACTGAACATTTTAGGATTTATTTGATTTGTTCAAATAAACTAAGTACCAAAAAACGATACAAAGTGCTCAGAATACGGGAAGTGGAGCTTAACCTTGGTAAGGCTGCAGAGCAGTGGACGCTAGGAGAGCAGTCCGACGATATAGTCGAAACACGGTCTCATAAAAGTGTGAGTACATAAAAGAAACGGTCACCCAACCGTGATCTGTTAAAACGCATATTACTGGACAAGATAACAGACTTTAAACCTATCAGATAACGTTTAAGATATAAAGTTACGGAATTAAAGGCAATATGGACGACTAGTGTAAACAAAATATGCCCAAAAACGTGAGGTAAGTAAACAGTTGACTTTCAGAAATGTACTATCCATGGACTAAGTGTCGAATTTAATTTGATATCCTTAAACATAATAATAATAGGAGGACTTATTTAATGAAGAAATGAGATGATTTTGAGTTTTATCACAATCTGTCCTTATTATAGATAAAAATTATAAAAATAAATCAGCATACCTGATTCTTAAACTTTAATTTATTATGAATCACACGTGAAATTCACTGTTTAACTTCCGTTTCATATTTTTTCTTTACATGAATTCTTGTCTTGTTTCATTTTCAACCGGCGAATGTTTAATGAAAAGCTATGACGTCATAGTTAGTACGTAACCCCTGTAATGTAACTTTGATCTTTATTTATACCATCCAAAAATGTCAAGATTTAGTTTATATCTTCTTTTGTATTTTTTCATTTATTTCTAGGACTCGAAATAAATCTTTAAATATAAAGTGTAAGAAATCGTTATCTCTAAATTCACGTCATATAGCTTACTATGACGTCATATTGTCATGAAAATTAGAATATTTGGTTGTAGCCTTAACATACCAGCGTGAATCTCATAACATTTATAACTATTATGAAAGCATTTCATTCATATGATGAGGACTTCATCTTTAATAATAGTTGGTAATTCTTTTACCAACGAAGAATCTATGAATCTCTTCGAGTTCTCTTGATTAATTTCATATAATTCTATAAAGTATCAATGTTTAAATATATGTATATGCTTAGATGTAATTTCAGTATTTTGAATAAATACATGTATTACTAAGTAGATAGTTTCGGTAATTTATTGAAAAGAAATTTTTATTAATCCAGAAGAAAAATCTAACTTTCAAATGCAAGCTTGATATTTGCCTTCGCATTCCAGACAATTCTGTATTTTATTTTGATAACCTGTCGTCAAATCTTAGTTAGCCAAAATGCAACATAATTTCAGTTTCCTACTTCTGTACATTGCATGCATGTCCACAATTTCTGGTAGACAATTAGTGTAAATAAAATTGAAAAAAAACACGTGACAATATTTTTGGTTGGGTAAAATCGTGTCCTTCTCTCTGAAATATGACAAATGTTCCTACAGCTGTTTCTCACAATTAAATTTGAATTCTTGATCTATAATCACCTGCTGACTATGGTAATAGGACCCTCCGTTTCACTTTGAAGAGCAAGGGACACCAAACGCAGCATCTGAGCTATAGCCTCGGTACCTTCTGTTGTTTTTAAGCTTCCCTTTGGCTCTACAATGGACACTGAGTTTCCTTGTTCATTTGTCTGAAGAGAAAATGCCAAAGAAGTTACTTCATCAAAAGGAATAATGAAAAGTCACTTCATCAAAGAGAGTCATGGAAATTGTTCAGCATGTCATTGATTTAAAATCATATTTCTTTACTATACTATGTAATACCAACCCCATCCTGGGTAATGCTGATAGTTGTACATTTAATTTCTGTAACTTGTTCTTGCCCACAATTTACTGTGAATGGGGACACAGTCTTTACACTATTGGCAGCTGGCAGCCACTTTTTAGTCTGGAGAACACAAAAAAGATATCAGTCTGAACATTTGTAAATTATAAACTGAGAAATAGTATAACAGTACTCACCGATTCAACTTTACTGAGGGGATCCATACATATCACAACGTCTGACTCGTGATCAGTGAGCAGGCGCAGGAAGTCAACAGCGTCCTCTGGTGCGGGATAGTGTGTTATTATGAAGGCTTTATTTTTAGTGTAAGACTTAAACGAAGCAAAAAAGTCAAATAAATGCAGATAGTTTAGGAAAAACAGAGTTTTCATTGATTCAAGAGATGCGTGCTTCTTATCAAAACATTTATCCTCAAAAATATTAGTGGCAGAATAATCAACAAAAATAGTGTCATGTTTCTGCCATGTAACTATTTTGATTAATTAAGCATGTATACTGTTTGGAATCTATTTATTCTACAGCATTCATTATTTTACGAACATAGAAACTCTGATGACCTAAGAAATAATTACAACAGATAATAAATCAGTACATTTGATTCAAAGGGTTTTACAGTTTTACGTACGGGAAGTGTAACTGCATTGATGTAACTGCCACGCTTTGGTACACTTGACGACAGATAGAGGCTATACTTGTCAACTACAAAAAAAGAAAACCTCACTTTATACAACCTGACGTATCTGACTGAGACAGGGGATCAAATAATATGTACTTAATTAGGAAAAGAAAAGCAGCATATAGTCTACATATGCCGGTGAAGGGCTACAAATTTTGACCTTTACTCGGCACTCAGGGCCATTGAGCAGTGAGGGATCTTTATCGTGCCAACGTCTGACATGACACGGGCATCGGTTTTTAAGGTCTCATCCGAAACATCCGCAGCTTTCAGCTCAAAGTACCGAGCGCATGGCGAAGGAACAGTTGTTACCCATTTTTATCGACTTCGGTCAGTTGCGGCCGAGATTCGAACTCACAACCTTCGTTCACGGAGCGAGCGCTCTACCGACTTAGTTATCATGAACGGTCTTTTGAGTTTGACGTCATAAAAGAGGGACGCAAACTAAGAACATTATCTTAGTCGACTTGTGTATCAAATCGCTTGAAAATCTAACTTAAATGTAGAAGGAGTGGTGTCGTGAAAAAAAAAACCCACCGACGTGTCTATTTGTCTATTTTTTATGTATATGATAACATTTTTTTCGAAATCAGAAACAGAAAAGATTATGTATTTAAGAATAGTCCACTCGTTTATCAAAAACCGTAATTTGTAGTGTTTTGCATGAATTACTAGCAAAACATCTAATTTTCTATTTAATGTAACCATTGAAACATTATATAGTGATATCAAAACGCGGGGTCTATTTTTTAGGAGAAAAATGTTTACAGACAGACTAGTACTGACAGTAAAACAAACAGACTGACTTCTTAATGCATAGGCATTAACAAGTAGAACTGTAAACGATTATCCGACTTAAACTATTACAAGAGAAGGGTGAAGATAAACAAAATATAAAAGACAGACCCCTGGAAATTCAAGAGGTGGGATCAGGTGCCCCTGTTGACCGGTATACCAAGTGATTAGCCAAATTTATGTCTGAAATCGAATCTGCATAAGTGGTTTTGCTTGTCATCCGAATGAATTATCAATAAATTGGATAATTGATCTCTTGAACATAGGAAAGGTATCGGAAACTGTTTCTTTGGCATAATTTACAAAAGGAAATCATACAAAAATATTATATACAACATGATGTCATTGTCATTTTATCCCAAAATAAGTAAAGGACTTAATCTACATTGAACATTAAGAAGGTCAACAAATACAATATAAAAATGGATCTGACTTTGACCAATCTGATGAGGTATCAAAGAGCAGACACAATGTTCATGATCTGTGATACAAAGTATTAATTCAAACTATTGAATAGACGAGAAGTTTTAGATTCTTTTTTGTATCAATGCAAAATATTACACGTTTTGGTTGGAATAATGCAGAATATAGCCAAGGATGTGAAGTTACTTGGAAGAATCATTGTTGGTCGCTTAAATATTTGCAGTCAATGGTTCTAGCAGACTGATCAAAGAGAACCTTTATCTATACGATCAGTACATTTATATGTAGTACCCTTTGGAATTGAATTCATTAACTGACTTTATATAAATAACTCACGTGGAAGAATAGCTGTTTTACTACTGGCGCTTTGTAAAGCAAATTTGTAATCCTCTTCTTTGTAAGACGGTCGCACTCTTAGAAGTTTCTAAATGATAGAAGTTCTTTGTTTTTTTTTCTCTTAATTAAAATATTGGCATATATCGAGAACTACAGTATGTTCACACTAACAAATGAATGAAAATTGAGTAGTTTTGGGTAATTACAAAAATATACCTCTGTATTTTACAAGATCATTGTCAAGTATGTTCCATCAGATATATACAATATACAGTATCATGTTTCAAACCACTCTTTACTTAATACCCTGATTTGAAAAATACCTGGAACTCATTTCTAAGTTCACTTTCATTGGCTGGTTTATCTCGTGTCATAAGCTCGGCTTTTCTTATGAAGTCAGGTTTGGTGTGTACACATGTTGAAGCTTTGAACATGGCTTCAAGTGCCAGAAAAATAGTCATGTACTGCTCCTGAAATATTCAGAAACCAAACAACCGAATTAATGTTTGTCAAGTCCCATGATTTAGCTATTGTAATAAGGATGTCAACGAGTATCCAGTTAACTGGATACTCGATCGAACGTCCGAGTATCGAATACTAAAATCGCTACTCGGTTACTCGGATGTATATTTTTTCATATTTCCAAGTGCATATATTTATTAAAAACTTATCAAAAAATGTTATTTACATATGCACTGTCCATGTCTATACAGTAATAATCGCCACCTGGTCACCTTCACCAGTTAATACCGTTATATACAGTAATTACCCTGGTCAATCACTTGACACCCTACAGCTGTTCTCATCTCTGGTGACCCAAGTTTTGGATGGCTTTAATTATTTCTTTTCAATGTTTCAAACGTTTAATTTGATCCATCAGTTATCCTTAGATTATTTAATTAGCATACAGTAGCGAAATTGGACACACGTAGAAATACCGCTACCAATTCAAAAGTGAAGAAAAATAACCGAAGATTTAAAAAATGTTAAAAAGTCAGCTATGCATAGTAACGGGGGAAAACAACCACATATTTAAGAAATCACTGTCTAGTTTGTTGGGTATGGCAGAGGATCAACGTCAGGTGGAAACGTGGGATAATTTATGCATGACGGGTGAAGTTGTAAATACTAGTATCAAGAAATCGTCATACTTAACTTTCAGAGTTATCACAAAGAAAACATTTAGAAATGTAAAAAAAAAAATATACGACTCGCCATCACGACAACGTCCATTCCCAAAAATTTCTCTTTCGCTAGTCTAATCATTACAAATTGCGTCCTTCTCTTCCATTGATCAAATTGACTTCCTAAACAAAAATTGTAAAGCATTAATTCTGTAGCCTTTGATGTATTAATTGATCATGTCTTTTGTGTTTGTTTGATATATAAATTACCTTAAAATCGTTTTCGTTGGGCTCGATGTATATGTACATGCATAATAAACCAAAGAAAACATCAACAGGGTATACAGGTCTCTATAAAATCAAAAACTTTTACGTGTACACACTTTTCCCGAGTACCCGGGTACTCGATCGGAAAATCGTCCAAGTAACCGATTATCAAATATTGACCAATTTGACATCCACTAGTAATAACTGTTTTGTTTGAAAAGTGTGCCCTCTGGGGGTTTTATGCATGATTAAGCAGCTCTCATTTATCACAATAATCGAAAATGACATCATTTGAAAAGTTTGCAAATTTAAATATTATTCTTATTAAATGACTGCTGATGAAAATAAATTTAATACTCAAATACAATTAATATTTATCTCTAATTAAAAGCACTTAATATGTAACTCACATATGTCTGAACCATGTTCATTCTTTTTTCTCTCATTTTCTTCACATATTCCGCGACGTTGATTTTCCTGTTTGTTTTCCCCGCCTTATATAAAGCGTCTATAGCGATATAAGTACCTGTACGGCCTATCCCTGCACTGAGGTTATCAACGTATAAATAAAACAAGTTTAAGTTTAGTATGTTATTTAGTACGATATTTATTGTATCTATTCCGAAAAAGTCTAAAAAGGATTTGTCAAGCTGTGTTCCTAGCTTTATAAATGTTAGAGGAAAAGTCAGAAAATAAAAAGAAAACCATTTGTTTTGCTTTGCCTAGTAAATATTAGTTACATCTCTGTATTTTTTAAATAAATAAAATGCAGTTTAACTGAGAAATGTATTATTATTATTCTTTATTTTCAGCATGAAAATAATTAACTTGATGAAGTGTTTACAATTGATTTACCTGCAGTGAACTAATGTTGGACCACTCCTTCGTGTATCTTTAGTCCTTGTCACGTGGTCATGAAAAATTACGAGGCAAAGTGGTTCCGGTGTCCCGTGGTCTGGCCAGGCAGTATAGTGGTACTGGGTTACTATTCGAGATTTTTTTAACTGATATATAAAGAAATAAATTGTATTTTATGAGACAGCCACACTACTTTTGTTGATATGTAATATACGTGATATATCCCTCACAAAGGAACAAAATGATATTGGCACTTAAAAATGTACGCTTTTAATTAACCTGAATGCTTTCCATCAACGATTTTCATTTTGATTGTAAATATGTTTCGCGGTTCTTTTTTAACTCTGATACAGAAGAACAAAAATGCATATTTGTTCAATATAAAATGCATTTTATATATGCCTTATAAATAAGATCAGCTTCCTTCTGGCACCAAAACCCTTATTTTCAAAGTACCTGACCTTTATCCATCATAAACCATGCAATTTCTAAATCTCTACATCACAAGAAGAGTGATTAAAATAAAAACAAAATTGCACATTTGTACGACATTGGCTTTCTAGAATTTTGCAGTTTCTCAACCCTTACTTTATGAAAGAAAAATTCCAGCAAGTATTGCAACTCCCTACTGAAGAGTAAAGAAGATATTTTAGGAGCTTTAGCCCTCTAAACTTTATAATTTTAATTAATTATTTAATAAGGACCTAATTTCTTTTTTATGACTTACCTCTTTATTGGTAACTCTAAATTTTCTGATTTTATAGTAGGCATATCTTTGTTCGTCCTCCGCGCGTAAGGATATCATACCAAAAGTAATAGTTTGATGTAGATCTGGCCAATACTTGACGCATTTTGCCTGTTTAGTAAATGTTAATTTATCTTACATTTATTGATTATAAAACACTTCAATACTCATATAATTGAAAAATTGTTTTTCATTTCGAATTCTACTGCTATAGAAGATTACACTTAAGACAGTGCTACTTTTAAAGTAATGTTTGTTTGCCCTCTCCCGACTCAGGATAACAAAATTGGGTTGGTAGGTAGGAGGGATTTTTCCTCCAAAAACTTTCAATACCACTGCTGAATTTTCAAAATTTGTTAAAATGTGTTATTTATACAATTACAGTAGTTGTTGATGGGCTGAAAAAAAATCTGGAATGCATTAAAAAAAATCATTTCCTGGAGATTAAAAAAAAATGTGGGGCCTTTTTTAAGTCTGCCGGTCGGAAGAGGGCAAACAGATTTTTTTTTAAAGGTGGCACAGTATTAACATTTCTCCTGGCGAGCTCATTTTTTCGTAATTTGTCTAGATTCAGTAACTTTAAAACGAAAAAAAAAACCTCAGGTTACCTTGTTCCCTTCCTTCAGGTTGGTCAACATTATTATTTGGTTGACGCTCTCCTGCCAAATCATGGACCAGTAGTCCGTCACCGTGTTCTGACGAGGTCCTGTTACATAGAGACAAATCTGTTTGTAGGACGATATTATCTATACTTTAATTAACGTAGTCAAGCTTTAAGGTGGGTTTATGTAAAGAAGGGTTGTGAAAATCAATATTTCCATTATTCGATTGTCGATAACATAAGCGGGCGAATAGTCGATCATTCGAAACATTTCCGTAAATATATTTTGCTTATGGCGTACATTACCTCGTTTTCCAAGAACAATTAAATGATTTTTTTTTTTGGTTTTAAGAATTTGTAGACCACAAAGCATACGTAATTGACGTAATAAAAGACGTTACCTATTACATTATTAAAGATATCATTCTAGAACTAAAAGTACTGTTTTTATTTATTTATGACGTGAAGTACATATTCATTGTCTGTGCTTTATACTATTAACTTATTGTATTCCTTTTAACTTATATTAACTCATTTTATTCTTTATACCATGAACATCAAACAACACTGTAATATACCCATTGTGAACGTTATAATGTTAATTAATTATACAAACTGCAATCTTTTTTTATCCCCAAAATAAATAATTCAAAGATTGTCATGACTCAAACACGACAGATTTCTAACACAAACAAGTAACTTAAAAGAAAAAAAGTCAAGCACAAATGTAGCGTAATTTACTAATTCTCTATTAGTATATTCGAAGTAGGAGTACTCAAATTTAGTCCAAGAGATTTTTTTTAACTTTCCAAATTAGAGCAATGCTCTTTATAACATAATTCTTAATTGACTATCATTTTCGTTTTTTAAAAGTCGGTTAATTTGTTGCACAATCTACCTTTTGTTGACATCTCTAATATAAAGACAATGGACTGAAAAAAAAAAAAACAAAACATTTGTACCTTGTGCTGCGATGTACTCATTTGTCTTATTAATACCCTGAAAATTAATAAAAAAAAAAATAAATAAATATTTTCAGTAAAGAAATTACACCCTATTGGCAAAATTTTAACTAAAGATTAAAATTTGGCATAACTAGTAATGTTGTTGAAATTGCTATAATTGAATATCATTTGCAATTCATTCCGTTTCTATCTTTCGTAGGAAATAAAATCCCTAAAATGATTTTTCCACAATAAAAATACATCGATTTCTAGGTAAATCGGTAAATTTGCGTGTCGCTAAAATTCCATCTATACGATGTATTCAGGTGTGAAAAATTTTACTTGATAGAGGGACATTACAATTGAAAAGATCTGAAGATTTTTAATGCTTTAACCAGTCCATTACTGGAAATCTTCAAAATAGAGGCGCGTTTGGTCGTCTGACTGGGACAACAATGACGTAGCGGAGAATACAAAACATGCCGATCTTAATACGATTTTAAATGTGAAATGGATTTGTCATTGCATTTAAAAAAACAGAAGGACTAATTGATATGTGGGAGTGCAAAATCCCTGAATTTATCATCAATTTATAAAAATTTCCACGTTGCCGAGACTTGTACATTGTATTTACAGATGAACCGTCAACAACTTTCTGTGATAAATAAAAATTGATATCGTTGTCATTTCTACTTCTGTTGCATGTAAAGTCCACAACAATGCAGGGTCTCATTTGCAAGCTTGTAAGGCGTTTTTGTTTACATGTTGTTACGATTGTCCCAGAAATCCCGCGAAATTTGTACACTTCCTGAATTTATCACAAAAAAGCGCACTAAGAACTATAACTTTTCAAGGTTGAAATGGAAAGTATTGACAATATTTGATAAAAAGAAAATAAAACAATTTTTCAGTTTTCAAAAGAGTATCCAATGATATTGTTGACTATGAATTAAGGAGGAGACTAGAATCTGAAGATTAATTTTTTTTCTATGCCAATTATTTACTTATGTGTAAAGGCACTTAATTTAATTAAAGTTTTCTCAAATATTACTCACGTCAATAAAATTGGCGTTGATGTAGTCTGACTGACTGTTGGACAATTTAACTCTGGAATGGTCGTCTGAAAGTATTCATTTTTCCATTGTAAAAGGTAAAGCAAATAATATAATTTAATTCATTCGCGATGCCCTTTAATTTTCTTAGTATTTTCGAGAATGTCATGACATCAATGTTGCGTTTTCGTAGATAACAACAAACAAATACTTCGTATTAATAGTATGGAGCAAGGTGTCACTAAAATCATCAACATTAATGATATGGCCGGCCAGAGGCAAAAATGTTTTAGGTAGAACAGGGGAACACTGTTTATATATATTCTTTGCTAGAATTGTAATTGGTGAACTGTTATATGTATAAGTAGACGCTTTACGTACATGGAAACGTGGTCTTGAATCTGTTTTTCGGTACGTTTTCTGGTTGTTTTCCAGTGTTGCAAGGATACCTCTCGCCATATGGCATGGCCTATTCATTAAGTCAAAATACTGAAATCAATTGCAATTCTCTCTTAGATAAAAAAAAAATAGGAAAAAATATATATTACTTTACCGCATACTCCCGTTTAAAGCCATCATCTTCATTTTTCCGTTTTTCATTAATAACATTCTCCAGGTTTTCTACATTTATATCTGGAATCGTTTCTTCATTCATATAGAGATCTCCATACGGATTTTCTTCATGTGTTTTCTCATCATTGTCGATTTCATCTTCACGCTCACTATTTTTTGAGTTGATTTCACGACTCTGTTTACCTTTACTTGGTAAATGTCTTGAACCATTTTTCTCCATGAAGTGGGTTGTTTCTTCCGTGTTACTATAAATATTTGTGAAATTTGATGTTGCTTTGTTTGAAGTACCTAAATAGAAAGAATAAGTCATGCTTCTGAAATTTTGGTAAAAAGTCTAGGAAAAATGAAAAATAAAATGCATTGTTCATTTCTCACTAAAATGCATTTTCTATAATCAAATTTATATCCTTAAAATCAAATATATATCTTTATGTTTCACAAAACAAGTTTGGGCATTTAATAATGTAAGACTTACTATCCATATTAGATGTGCTCCCAGCATTTGTTTTCTGATCACTATTTTTAGCAGTGCGTGATCTGAAGTTAGAAAGGTACTTTATAAATATTTTTTCCTATACGTTTATTCCCAACATAATTTTTTTTTCTCAAAAATTCAATGAAACAAGTCTCCGCTGAAGCTTTTCTCGTCAAATGTTATAATTGCAACAAACTCTTTTGAGGCAGCGCCTTACATGCTGGTTTGATACAGATGGAACTTTGCATTCCTATCGATCAGATTTGTATCTTTAACTGCAATGTTATTTAACACAAAGTTGGTAATTTAAGACGAAAATAACCTCTTTTTGTTTGTCTTCTCATTTCAATTACAGATGTGTCTAAATATTTCTTTATAGACACCTTACAATACGAAATAGCACCTTAAAGTCTTTTCATATTTTTCTCAATATTACAATTGAAGGGCACCTATAACCCTTATCCAGAAAACAATATTTAACAACGTGGATTAACACACCAATAATGCTTGTAAATTGAGAGTTCTATTCAATGGATTGCAATATATTTAAAGAAATACCATGATATATCTGTAAATGAGACAAATGAAAATCAAACAATAGAAAGAAACTATGTTTCTTTTATTTTTGGATATTGCAGCATTTCATGACAATTATATTTTCCCAAGACTGTTACTCTTTTGCAGTTTTACTTACCGTTTGATTAAGATGACTGACAAAACTATAATTAAAAGAACAATAACAGCTGCGACTACTCCACCAATTACTGGAATTTTCGATGTATCACCACTGTCCTTTACCTAAAAATTCAAAATTATTTTAAAGTAAGGAATTTCGACGTACTGATTTTACGTAAAATAGTTCTCATTTACATTAACACTAACCTTTTCCGATTTCGGACATGATGTTGACTCGGAGCTTTTATCAGTACATACTAGGAAAAAGGGAAAATATATATTTACATTTTGCACTGCTTTTAAAATCATGATGATAGAATATCATTAACAAAATTTGATTGAAGAAACCTTAAATGACAACGTAAGTTATTCAAGCAATAGTGTTCTTTGAAAATTATCACTATTATTAGCTACCTACATTCATATTTTTTTTATATATATATTTGTGATACATTTATATTTATATTAATATATATCCATATATTTATATTTAGTATTAACTATATTTAAATTCTGAGTAAATATTGTTCCGTGAAGTATTCATTCATAATTGATAGCATATCATACTCTAAAGTATTAAGGTGCAATTTTTCTTTTTTTCCTCCTTCGCTGAGACTTATTCAATCTTAAAATCTCTTTTTAAGGATTAAAGGTTAACCAGAAATTGTTGAACATGTGAGAGAGTTAAGTGCAGTTCAAATGCTTTTTCCTGTTTCTTACTATTGACACAAAGGGATCCATGATACCCAAAAGAACAGCCTGTCATACATATACCATTGACATGGTGACATTGTGTATTGTTTACACAGTAGCCACACGTTTCATTGCACTTATCACCAAACGTTCTGTTATCACATTCTGAAAGAAAACAATTATCACGAAGAATTGAATGTTTGATTTTTGAAATTTGATTTTATTTTCAATTACACAAATACTTTCTCTTCACAAAAAGTGGGGGAAAATGAAAATAAGCTTGAGTTAAAACGTCATCATCTGTTTTAGAATTAGATAGAGAATATTGGCATCGCTTTTAAATGAGCCAACATCAAGTTAAATTCAAACTATTTTGCTTCAAAAAGACATTTAATCTTACCTTTAAAGTTCATAATAAATGTATGAAAGAAAAAAATGATTTTCAATTTCTAATATAACATGTGATCTTCAATGAATTTTTTTTATTTAGATCTTTATTTTGCCGTGCGTTAGTAAAATGATCTAATCCCTGTTTTGAGAGCTATTTCCCGGTTAACCGTTATCCAATAGATTATATTTTGTATAGGTGTAATTAAATAGGTAGATTTTGTCATAGAGAGTTAGCAAGATTCCAGTTTCTCTCGACCAAGACTATTTCCCCTGGCATCGCCTCAGAAAATAATCCTGGTCTTGAGGAACTGAGATAATAACACCTGATAAAATAAGAGTTAGAAAGTATGAAAAATATGCATTAATTAGGAATAAAAATTGCAGATAAAATATAAAATGCCTGGTGAAATCGCAGTTTAATTATAAATTGAGTTCATCTAAAGATTGTGAGCCCTTGTGATATTTATATTTATTACACATGCAAGAAAGTGTGCGAAACACATACGGAAACGTCTTGTGAAGTAACACTTAGGGTACAACTCTTTGTATTCATTACGAATTGATAATGATAACCTACCTTTGTCACAAAGTGGCCCCTTGTATCCCACAGAACATCCCTCTGCGCATGTCCCATTGATGTGCTGACACTGAGATCTACCGAAACATTTGCCACAGGTCTGACTGCACATCTCACCGTACTTTCCTCCGCTACACGCTTTAAATATAGTATTTGAATATTTTTTCAACATTCTGGATTTAACATCTGGATTATTCACCATCAGATATCTATTAAAAAGATTATTAGCTAGCTACATTACAAGAAAATTTAAAAAATATATAAACAAATATAGTAGTTATAATATATCTCACTCAAAAATTATGTATTCTCAACAAAATCGATTTTTGCTATAAATATGAAGGGTAATTGGTAAGGTAAAAAAACGGTCCATGGAACAGGTTAAAGGCATGAGATCAAAGATGGAGAAGTGTAAAGAAAAATTGGTTGAAAAGCTTGATTATACCCTTGTCATTGGTAAAATAAAATTTTTCAGTGGTTACATTTTCATCTCTTCTAAAAAAAAAATCAACGTTGTAGACCCTTTACATAAAGATTATGATTTAGTATCTTATTTTTTTTACGGGAATCCTTTCATTTCGTTCTTCAGTATTGTATAATTCATAATGATGTCAGAATGTATTCAAAAATTAACTATAATATTTCAATATTTCTTTCTTTTTTATGTTGAAAGAGCTCGGTGCTCTAAAATTAATTCACAATGCTCCGCTGAAATAAAACATGCCTTTTCACAATATATTTATGTTAATATCTCAGTATCATTTTTTTCAAGCATGTTTTTAAAGCAATGATGAAATGGGGTATCTTATTCTACATATGACTTCAAGAGTAAAGTTAGAATTGTTTTCAAATAATTGTATATGTATAAGCAATATGTACTGAGTGTATTATATAAATATAATATTCAACAACAAATACAGTACAAGTGCCTGGGAGGGACGATTTTCATTCGTTATAAACTTAATTCGTTATACCGTATATCCGGTTTTTTTCGCGTTTTGCAAATTTTGCGAAAAAGGGTAGATTTGTACAGTTTTTATTTTGTGTGAGTTATTTTTTGCGATTTAAAAGAACAAATTAAAAAAAGGTAACGTTTTTATGGCACACAATAACCGATATAATTTTTGCGTGTTTTATTTTTTGCGAATTAAAAATGATCGCAAAAAAATGCGAAAATTAGATCATCGCGAAAAAAACGGATATACGGTATATTGTATTCTAAAGCCATGAGAAATAAAATAACACCTCGCTTTAAGCGTCAACGCATTATAAGCGTCTTCGCTATAAGTATGTTTTGTTTTACATGCGCCTATGCTACTCTGCTAATTTTGCAAAAAGATGTACACTGTATATGAAAAAAGTGACAAAAAATAAGTTGCCTTCGTAACCATCAAAAATTCATTAATACCTTCTCGACAGAGCGATCCTCTGTACCCTTTAGAACATCCATCTAAACAAGTGCCGTTAATATGATGGCACTGAGATCCATTTAGACAGTTCCAACAGCTCTCATTGCAGTTTACACCATACATTCCACTGTCACATTCTTAAAGAAAAATTAACTGACACACGTGTGTTTCATTTGGCTGGAAACATGTAATTTTGCGTTTTAGAAATCTGATTCTAAATATTGATGATAAATATCTGTCAATTTTATTGAATGATTGATAGATTTTTTTAAAGCTGTGTAGGTTGTATTACCGAAACATGTCTGCAATAAAACGTAAAAATGCGAAAAAAAGATGATTGTTTTTTCAAAGAAATATTGTTTGTTGTAATACGTCCCTCTTGAGAATTTTTCACTCAAATGGAGACGCCACCACTTGCTGGTGGAGGGCTGCAAATTAAGACTTATACTCTTCACTTAGGACCATTGACCAGTGAGGGATCTTTTTCATGTCGTCACCTACTGCGGCATGGGACATCGGTTTATACGGTCTCATCTGAAGGACCGGTCTCCACGTCCCGCAGTGGGATTCGAACCCGTGTCATAAGGATGAACTCCTTACTCCGCGACTCTAAAGCAGACACTCTAACCACTGCGCCACGCGGGCGACCTAAGTAATTTTAGTAACACGGCTTGTGTATAAAGATAGGTTTATTTTACTTATGTAGATGTCAGGTTTTTTACATGTGTACCAAAAGTGAATTAATATCTGCTGAGGCTTAAAATATTGTTTCCTGATGTTTAAAGAAATACCTGTGTCACAAAGAGATCCCTTGTATCCCCTAGAACATCCTTCGTCACATGTACCATTTATATGATGACATTGTGTCTCATTTATACACTGACCACACATCCTACTACAGTTATCACCGTACATTCTACTGTCACATTCTTTCAGAAAAATATAATTGAATATAATATTGTAACATTAGAACAGATCGGAAATATAGAATGAAATATATGG